CGAGTTCAAGCGAAGAGTAGAAAGGTGTGAAGCCCATACCACAACGTCTTTTGTTCTTAGAGCGAACCAATTAGTGGCCCGAAGACCTTTTTTTGATCTGGCAACTAGATCCCGTGAAATCTTTTACATATATGTCACATACATGTGCACACATGTATGTCACCTACGCTTTGAGCTTGTATGTGCCATACATGGCACTTGTATGGTGACATGTATGTGACAGCCATACATGTGACATACATGTCACAAGCGCGTGGGAAAAAAAGAATAACAAGAAGAATAAACAAATTAAATAAATATTTTTTTGTTTGTGTTAGGCTTAAATCGACATTTCTTTCAACTCTCTAGTCACACACGGTTTTAAAGTCACTCAAACTGATGATGATGTTGGGATTTGAACCCGCAACCTTTGTGTTACGAACCTGGAGCCTTGACCATTCAGCTACCGTAACACAGCTGAGAGGTCCGTGCAGGTCTGCACTCTTATGCTACACAGGATCACATGTAGGCCACATACATGTAAATTACGAGAGCACATTTTTCACTCACCAATGGATTTCAGTCGATACGTACTGAATGTAATTTTACGATTACAAATTGTAATTTTACAACTTGCGGTGCAGAGTCGATCTTTCAGGCATTTATTGAATAATCTTACATAGATCGTTTCTCTTCTGGAAATAATATTATTGCTTTGTTCGGAAAAGACATTTAGTCACAATCCTACCAACCTAGGTTAAGACACACAAGACAAGCACAAGTTTTCATACGTCGCATGTATGTGGACTGTCCCCATACGTATATGTGACGATGACACTAACTTATAAGTCTTAATAGGTCACATGTATGTGCCAGATGTTTCTCAGAACACATACATGTGCGACAGACTTGTATGTGAGTGCACATACATGTCACATGTATGTCGGACCTATGACTTCGACCGCCACATACATGTCCCCGACGCGTTCGTATGGGCGACTTGTATGTCACATGTATGTCACATACAAGGGACTTGTATGTTTAGGGTTTCACGGGATGTTTGTACCCAAAGAAAATTAAATTCGACGAATT